ATATATATATATATAAGTATTTGCATCATGATAGTTATTTAATTTAAATAAAACAAGCAATTTTTAATAAATCTAACTTTTTAACGTAGATATACAAAATAATAAAGATCAAAATCAGTATAAAAGAATAGAAATGACAAAATAGCGTTAATAGCTTGGACATTGCAGCACCGTTATGTACGGTAATTTAGGTAAACAGCTAGAGAAAGAAACTGCTTCCACTTCTTTTTATAGCGTATCCGTAACGGAAAGAGAATAATCTCGTCACCAGAGATTAACAGAGAAAGAAGAAGAGTATTTTCTCAAAGACAAGAGCCTCGTCATTTTGTTCATATAATTTTAACATCATGGAATTGAATACGCATTTGACAGCGTATCAAAATTTAAATCAGAAGTAATTCTATATATCCTAAATTCTATTTACTAAGCGCAAGATTACTGTAATAAGATTTTACAGCAATAATAAGCTTTATCGCGTTATTATAAAAAAAAATATAAATATAAAACGAAAATGAGCAATAAACTTCGACACTCGCGTCACCTCAAGGTGGCATCAACGAGGAAGCGTTAGATCAGCCTTTCGTGATCTGGAAACTTGGAAGAGAGGCACTTTAAACCTACTCTCCGGAGCTTCTCGAGTACTCGTAACCTGCGATTTGCTTCTGGAGATCGTCCAGTGCTTTATGCGCGTTCCGAACCGATCGTGATCGTCCAACGATGAAATGCTTCCCCGCTCGATAGATTTCTTCGAGGGGATCAAGGATTTTTATGACCGCGGTGCATTGAACATCTTCGCGACGCGATAGAAAACGGCTTGTAAAATCTAACTTCACAAAGGAGAGCATGCGCAATCGATCAGAATTTTAAAAAGATACGCCTTCCATAATCATTTTAATCCCAATATGTAAAAATTTTATATATATATATATATTGTTGCGAATTTATAATAAAATTTCAACGATTATGCGTTTACCACATCCATTTACTTATCTCTGTATTCCACTAGCGTTGATGCATAAATTAATTCATAAATTAATAGCGGTCTTCGGGTCAGCTTCGGAGGTAAAAACACACGTGTCGAACAGTCGCAGTGTAGCGTTTTGTTGTTCGAACAGTAATGACGTAGTATCGACGCACGCCTCATGCTGCTATGCCACTATTCTCACTGGTGGACTATCACCAGGAGGATGGGGGAACGCAGATACGCGTATGCATTTTTTTATCGCGAGTTTAAAGCCGTTATTCACCAGTGGCTGCCAGCCATAAACGATAACGCGGGACGTTTAACGATTATCAGGCCCTTGGACGAAGTCAAAAACACTCGGCAGACTGTTGCGCAGCTACGCGAGCGACGCGATAGTCCGCCGTAAAACATCGTCTCGTATCGTCGCTTCGTTCAGGTAAGCTCGCACCTCACAGCTTGCACAGCCTGCCGAGTGCACAATCCCAGCTTCCATTAATCTGTTTCGGAACTTTACAAGCCGATTAAACTGCCGCTGCCCACCACTGCGCGGAGGAAAATCGCATATATCCGGAAACATAGCACACGCAGCCCCGCCTCCCCCCCCTCCCTCTTAAACAATCTCCGTTCGTGGGTTTCCGCCCATCGATCGTGTTAATTGTAGCAAAAAAAAAAAAAAAAAAAAACAACACGAATGACACCTTCACGCGTGATGTACGATCGCGGAATTAATGGGCAACGCCAAGGTACCGGTCGCATCACAAATGTAAACCTATTACTACGGCCATACGGGAGGGGGGGAAGCCGACGCTGTCACGTGTCTGTTTATTTTCTATTCGTAACACGAGACAAAATACGAGTTACCACACCCTTTGCTTTGCGCTTAAAACACTTGTATCGCATGTCACGTAAGAAAGTATTGGTACGCGTGCTTCACCGATCAGATCTCGTCGACACTAACAGAATGTAAGTTCTCCTCAATTGGTACTCGTGTTTTTTCTTCTTTTCTTTTAAATAAAAACGATCGAATTTTAAACAATACGATCGACGTTTTGTTACAAAAGAAACAGAGATAATTGTGTGGGTACATACACTGAGAAAAAGATTTCTTTAGATTTAGCAATTCTATTTGTTTGATTTGAATTTATTTAATTTAAACAACATAATTTTATATTAAACATTATTTTGTTGAATTAAGAGTTTTGTTGTTTCATTAATGTATATCATGTTGTTTAATAGAAGAAACACTATTATTTAAAGGAAGTAAAATTTATCTCTGAACTAAATAACACTTTGTTTGGCTAGATTAAATATTATTTCAATGAAAGAAAGAGATTCTTTGATATTGTTGAAACATATGATAAAGAGCGTTACTTTTTTCAAATAATTTATTAAATAAATATTTTATTTAAAATAAAGCAATTTATTTGAAAAACCAATCGAATTTGTTGAATCAATAATTGATTTGTTTGGACTATTTAAAAAAATTAATTTCTTTGAATCTAATAAAATTTATTAAATCCAAAGAAATCGTTTCCTCTGTGTACGTGTAGCTTAAGAATTACTTATTTCTTTGAGAAAAAATTTTATGTATAATAAATGAATAAAAAAAAAATATTTTCCCTCGTTTTATGGCGGTATGAGCGTTTAAAGCAGTTGCTTCTTCAAATTTGTCCAGATAATAAATCATATTTAATGCGGCACTCTCAACTTTTCTTAATACGTAATACGAATAAACGTGACTTCTTCGTCTGGACTTTGGAATGGAGTGGTCAATGTTCCTATCTGAAAAAGTAGCGTGACTACATATGTTGTAAAATTCGTCATTCAAAAGGCGAGAAGTTTAAGGCTGAGAAATATCAATACTCACGAGAAAGTTTAAAAGCAATCTCACGATCCGGTTGAAAAGAAACCATCTTCACGTGTCCTGTCACTTATCAGTCATGAATATTTACGCTTCGAAGTCCTCTTAGGACAGCGAGTTTAAAGATTTTGTGTTCATAAATCGCAGACGGTAAAACTCCATAAAAGTTCTCAAGAGAAAATGGCAAAGGAGAAGGATGTGCGACATCCCTTGAATGTTTAAAGATCACTTTTGCATTTTTATTTAAGCGAATACACACACATATATATATTAATCATTCAGATACAAGTTATTTTTCACTTTCAAACTTTAGATTATTTTTACAATAATTTTATTACACATTTAAAAAGAATTAAAATAAACAAATCAAATATATCGTAAAAAGATTTTTTTACTTGCCAAATTTTATTATTATTTCAATTGACACTTTGTCAATTTTTACTTAATTAAATTTTTATTTAATTAAATTGTAACCGATTCGATTTTAACTTTATGTATAATATGCTTGTTCG